AATTAAAGACGAAGCAGGCACAAAAATAACGACCCACCCACCCCTCTCGCGCTCCCTTCAGTCCATCCTCCTTTCCCATCTTCTCCACCTTCTTTCTTTCACTCCTGCTCTCTCTCTCTCTCTCTCTCTCTCTCTCTTTCTTTCTTTCCTGACGCCCTTTAAGCTCGGCACCCCTTCCTCCCCATTCTTCTTCTTCTTCTTCTTCTTCTTCTTCTTCTTCTTCTTCTTACTACGTTGCCTTTCTCTTACTTTCGATCCTCCTTTTTTCGCCAAAAAATGTTGGATTCGCTACACTTTTCAAGTATATTTGACAAGAATCAAACTTGCTTTACGACTCGATCTAAACCTATTTGTCATTAATGAACGTTTCAACAAATTCACTTGTAATCCTTACCCAATGCTTGTTTAAACAATTTTTCAAATGCATTTCCTTGTGATTCATCTTATCTCGAAAAGTTCCTATCAAACTCTAAGCTTTGAAATAATTGTTACAAAGGTTTAAGTACATAGACGTTTTTCCTCCTATAGATATTTAGTAAGCAAGTCAATTTATGGAATAACGATGGAGCGAATCGTTATAACTCTATATAGAAAATCGATCGGAACAGAATGTGCCAGTGCATTAACCCATTAAAGACCAAGCGCGGTAAATGCGTAATGAGCAAAGATTTCGTTAGTCTATTTTCAGATAGTACCTTTGTAATAGAGAGCCGAGAGAAAAAGGAATGAGAAGGAACGAAAGAGAAGGAACGAAAGAGAAGGAACGAAAAAGAAGAAAAAAGTTTCGACTTTTTTCTAGGCGTTCTTTTTGTTTTGGCAATGAGACGTTGTTGGAGAAAGTTTACGGTCGTCGGTACACGGTACACGGTACACATATACATTGTCGAAATAATTGTTTTACGCGAATAACGATCCCCGTACTCTTTCGTGCGACGAGTGTATTCGTGGCGGATACCATATAAAAAGAATCAAGCTAGGGGTGCTTGAAGATATATGACTTAGATTTACATGTGACCCAATTCGCGTTCCCTTACGACCGAATCAATGGTCAAAATGTACAAATAAGATCCTACACCCGATTACTTTTAAATATGTACAAAACAGTAATACAACTTTCTTTCGCATAAATACAATAAAATACTAAAGAGACCATATCTAGGAAGAAGTTGCAAAACTCGGTTATTACTTTAATTCCTTTTACAATTAGTACGAAGCGGACGTATGCTGTAACAAACTAAATAGAAACTTTTTTTTTTTTTTTTTTTACAATTGTTGACTTTTCATCTAATCCTAATAGTTATCGTTTTAGTCATTAAAGATTTTTGTATCTTTCGATAAATCCAAGGATCGAAAAGAAAAGTTTTCGACGCAACGGTCAGAGTCGAAGAGAGAAACCCATTCAAACGTTTGAATATTCGAATATAGGAATATCCGAATTTAGAGATTTCTACCCCAAGAAAGACGAAGCGTTCATCTTCCAGCGTAATCAATATTAAAAGTCTAAAACGTCTCGCGTGTGTGGCAGCTTGGCCGCGCGTGTAGGGGTCGTAGCTCGACGTCGGGAGTTGAACCCCGCGTTACTGCTTCAAACGAGTAAGAGTGAGATGGAACAGTTAGAGAACGGGCAGGCAGGCAGGCAGGCAGGCAGGCAAGCAGGCAGGCAGGCAAGGAAAGCGCGAGAGGGTTGGAGGGGTCGTCGCGAGGATACTCAAGGGTTTGAGGGGGTGGTACGAAGGAGTAGAGAGTGAACGGCGTCGTCTAAGGTGGTAGTAGTAGTAGTAGTAGTAGTGGTGGTGGTGCT